TCACAGGATGCATTGCGAGTTTGTTGACTGTACTTGTATGCAAACTTGGCAACAAATCTGCTCAAGGCTATAGGACATTGCTTTAAGACGTTACATGGCAATTAAGAAAGAGCCAATGAAATAGAAACAGGAAGTATAAAAGGATCCTGGGCAGGGACCCAGAATTTATGGTTGGAGCTGAGGATAAAGGAATTACTCATTACACCAGTGTTATGGATTGAGAAACATTATAACAGCGATGGGCCACAAACAGCCATTAGGGGAATGACTAATTGTATCTGGGGGATTGTTGGCCAGGATGATCCCATTCTGTGTTTCTTGTGATCTTTAGCATTCTCTTGGAAAGGCAGACAGACCTCGGTTTAATGTCTCATCTGACAATGCAATGCTCCTCCAGCACAGTATTGGAGTGGCTACCTGTGAGTTCAAAGTCCCGATGTTGAGTGTGATCCCAAAACCTTCTGACTGAGAGGTGAGAGGTTATCTTGTGGGTGACTGTGTCAGTCAATTTGCACAATAGCAACTTCCCACAAACGGCCATGGAGTGAGTGACTAATTTTATTTGAAGAATTTGTTTGTCAGGAGACGCTCCTTTCTCTTTACAAATACCGCCATGAGGTCTTAGCATCCACCTCAGCAGCCAGATGGGACCTCGGTTTAACATTTCATCATGATTCGCACCTCTGACAATGTAGCACACACCTCCGCACTGTATTGAAGTGTCAGCCTAGACAATATGGATTCCATATGAACTGACAACCTTCTGACTCACAGGTAAGACTTACTGACTGAGCCGGGCTGACGCACATTCTTAAATCTCTTGCTCGGTTTCGATTGTTTCCAAATGGAAACTGCGAGAAGGTCAATCCATTAGAGCAAATGGACTGTTCATCCTTAATAATGGTGTCCAGTTTCAATCGCTTCTCAATGCAGACGGAAAGAAAGGTCATTCCATTAAAACAAATGGATAGGTTTATGAGGCTAAAGTCATCTGTAATTTGCACAGCAATTTCATATTTTCCTTATTCATTGCAACTACAAGAATCTGGTGAGCGTTATTGATTCAGCGCCAGAAAAATAAATAAAATGTTTCCGGTGCATTTAGCCATCGCTTCAATTCCAACCAAGAATACGCAAACAGTGACTTCTACCTAGGAGCGAAAGAACATGACTCTCACTGTATCTAACCCTCTCCCGTTCAATGTGGCCCAGTATTGGCTGTGAATTCATACAGAAAATACAGTAAATCTCATTATAATGCAGGTTTGGAATCCAGCCAACATTTGCATTACAACAAGGGATATGTTGCAACAAACATTACGGGGGAATTGGCATAAATCTATCGAAGGAGTTGAGAGCAGAGTTTTAGCAACGTCTGTCAGTAGAGTTGGGCATGAGCACCTATCTGTATGGTATATAACGCTTAAATCTACTTCTTGTTTCAAATAACATTGCTGTTTTTTTTTTGTACCTAAACACTGTTGCTTAGAAGTTCCCCCAGCTTCTCTTGGGCTTGTGTTATGTGACATGCTAAATGGGCGAAACATTAGGCAAGTTTCCTAACTCCACATGCCTCTCTTTACCTAGCAGCAAGTAAGAACCCGATTGTTAGTTGATTAGGGGATCACTTTTAAGGGGGTAACAATGTCTTCAAGCTAAATAAAAATAATTTGGTTGCTCAATTCATGACTGTTTGTGGGACACTGCTGTGCGCAATTGTCTGCTGTGTTTCATCAACAAACTATACAGTCAATTCACTTTACAGTATATCCTGTGAAGCGCTTTGAGACATCTCGAATACGTGATAAGGCGCTATATCGAACGCGCGCATTATCATTTGTTAGTTTAAATTGTATTGCTTCTGACGTTAAGTTTTTGTGTGTAACAACTTGCATTGGCTGTAGAGGTTTAACCTTATCAGGAGCTAAATTAATTCTTGAAACCTCTCAAATACGAGTACTAATTGTACTAAAAGAGTCAACGTGGCTTCGTACAAAAAAGCAAAGGATGATCCTGGGGAAATCAGAGTACTGTTATTTGAAGGGTTTGTAACATGAGCTCACAATCTTGACAGATGAAGCCAGATCCTGATAATCAAGAAATATTTGCACTGAAACTTTAAACACTGTGGACTGAAAAGCAAAATTGCTGTCTGTTAATTGACATGAACAGGTTAGAGCCCTGAGAGAAACATCCAGCACAGTAGAATAAAGACTGCAACCTGCTGAAACCTTTCCTTGTTTGTGGTGAATGTAGCCCCGAGGTTGTGATATGACAGATATAGCTTGGGATTTTTAGTTCTAAGTGATATAAATGACCCTTCGGGTTATTAAAAGAGTGATGGGGATGTGCAACAGCCTACCAGCGTGGGTGGTGGAACAAAAACACTACAAAGGGCTTCAAAAGAGAACTGGACAAGTTCCCATCAATTCAAAGGATTCAGAGTTATTACATATAGAAGTGGATACATTGGAGGAACATTGTGGGAAATTGGATGGGCAGTCTAGATAAATCATCCTTGCATTGTTATAGCACCTATTAAAGTTAACATTTTCAAAGTGCTTTAAAGTAATTATCTAGTGAACCTTCTGATTCGGAGACAAGAATTGGGAGTCCATGTCCAAAGGAATAAAGCACAAAAGTAGGGAAGCAATGTTACATTTAAATTTTATAGGTTTCATCTACAAAATATTCAGTCAATCCACTGCACAATATATTCTGTGAAACGCATTTACGTGATAAGGCGCTACATCAATGCATGCATGAAGGACAAGGGGATAGAAGAATATAAAGAGGGGAATAGGAGTGCTGGGGGCTCATGTGGAATATAAGCATCAACTCAGCTAGGCTGAATGTCCTATCTAGTAACTATTCTGAAATAGTTACTGGCTTGTATTTGACAATCTAAAATACAATAATTAACATGAGGGGGTTTCACAGATTTCACTTCCTTTTCTGGTCACTTCTGGGTTTTTGTAATTTCTATTTCTGGTACTTTCTGTGGTTTATTTGAAGACAATAATCCTGGGCCTGGTTAAATAAAATAGACTAGGATTTAAAAATATAAGTTTGCATTTCTTTTATTTTTGTTTGAAAACGAAAAAGATGGCATCTTATGAATCACAACAACTTGGATTTATACTGTGCCCCTCACACAAGGTTAGCGTCCCAGAGCACTTGACAGTGGTGGAGCAAGACACCAAGCTGGGGGGAGGGAGAGGTGACCGTAGGCATGGTCGAAGAGGAAGGTCTTCAGGTACGACCTGAAGATGAGGAAGGGGGGGGGCAAGGCAGAGGGAGAGAGGAAGTGTGTTCCAGGGTTTTAGGGAATAGTGGCTGAATGCATGGCCACCAATGGTGGCACAAGGGACAAGCAGGAATACCAACCTGAAGCATTATTACTTACACACAGAAGCAATGAAATATCACTTAAGCTCTATCTGAGTGGAAAGAGGAAGGAAGTATACTTTTGCTGCTAATAGTCGGACCTTCAACCTTCTTGCCCCCACTCTCTGGAACTCCATCCCACAGTCCTTCCAGCTCTCCCTTTCCCTCACCTCCTTCCAGGTAGGTCTCAAGATCTTCCTCTCCTAGACCGTGCCTTGGTCATCTTCCCACCCCATCCCCCTTGGTTCCCATGCTTCCTGAATCCAACTCCCAGCTCGGGTGCCAACCCTCGATGATCCAGCACTTTGGGACGTCATCCCAATTTGAAAGCCACTATATAAACGCTGCTGTTGTTGTTGCTTTTGTGGTCTAGTGAAGCCAATCGATAATTATCCTTGCATTTGATATAGTGCCTTATCACATCATTGCGACGTCTCAAAGCGCTTCACAGGATATACTGTAAAGTGTATTGACTATGTATTTTGTGGGCGAAACGCGGAATCAAATCGATAGTGAGTTGGGGAGGTTGGCTTCCCATGTATTGAATACTCTGGAATCACCACTGTGGCACTTTAGCTGATAGACCACTATGTTCCTTTAAAAGTAGCACAGTATCTACTGCAATGCCAACATCTGTAGTCTGACTTTTTAACATGACATGAGAAACGCACAGAAGAAGCTGAATATGTTATTAACTCGTGCAGTAACAGTCCCCTTATTATATCATTGCTACAGTCCAGCCCTGGGCAGCTGCAATAAGAGACATATCTAGTGCTCACAGGCAAGGCACTTTAGTGTGAACAACATCAAATGTCTAATATTATAACTTAAGGAGTTCCAGATGTTATTTTTTTTGCCTGTTGAAGCAGACACGATGAGGCCTAAAGGGTTACTGTAAAACTCCCTAACCCAGGAAAACAGAAACTGGTTGAATTCAGCTAACAGTTAACTGCAAGTTTAACATTCGCTCTGCCTTTATTAACATTAATAACTGTTACTAACATTTGCTACACACGTGTAATTAAACTGCAGAAGCCATTAGCTGTTGCCCACAATGTGCTGCGTGAGTCTTGCTTTTCTGTAATGTGTACATCGCATCACGGTATGGCAAATGGAATTTTTCAGTCTTTACATGTGTTTTCAATAAGATGCACAAAATAAGCCCTGCTTAGTTTGGTATAGCTCGAATTGAGGGTTTCTTTTCAACCCTGACCTTTTTATTTGGCAAAAGAATGTATGCAATTGGTCCAATTTTTTTTGTTAAAAAGTCCTGGGTTTTTTTTCCTGTGCTTTTAGCGAGCTAAAGCCAAAGCTCCAACGGACAGAATATTCTATCAGATTAGCATTTTGTATGATTATACATGACAGAGGATTTACTTTCAGAGGCCCTGCTAAGGATAACCAAAAAAGGGCATGTAGCAGGACATTTTTGGCAGCAAGCAGCGGTTTTCAGGGGTTTTAGGTCTTGTGTCTTGATGAGTGGTTTCCTGAGCATGCCTGGAGAATGACCGGCATTTCTGGAAGAAGGCTGGACCTACCTTGGGTTACATAGTGTGATTGGCCGAACATTAGAATAAACTACAGACAATGCGTACCAGTGGCTGTCAACTGTAAACATAGAGGGAGATGTATTCACTTGGCATTGACTTTGGGAGGGGCTAAGGCCTGACTCCAGTTTCATTGAATAGAGCTGTATGTGTGTTTATACTGCCTGTACTTCCTTGCAGTTCTGGCCGCAGAGTCGCTTGTAGTCTTTGAGAGCCAGTCAGCGTTGAACTCACAGAGGTAAGGCAATGGACTTTTGAGTGTTCCTCGGTGCAGCAGGCGTTACTTCAGAACGTGAGGGATCTACACTGAGCTGGTTTACTTTAGGAGTGACTCCGACATGTTAAATGTCAGTAAATCAGACTTTCTTAACTTTAATTATCCAAAGGGCAAATGTTTGACAGTTTGGAGCTTGGTCTAATTTGTCTGCATTGTCTGAAGGCTTCTGGACTGTAACAGGTAGGCAAGGCAGCAAGGAGTTTTAAAGGGTGCTGTAAAGCACTCGAGCAGGATTTGAAATGTTTTTTTTTACTGAAGTAACAAAGATTTTCTCAAGACTGGCTGTGTGTTTTGGAACCGCCTACTGCAGCAAAGGACTGAGAGTTAGCAGGCGAGACTGACGCTTCGAGATTTAAACATGACTCAAACTCAGCAATTGTAAATGGTTTAATATGTTAGAACGTTTTAAGTTTATTTTATTGAATGTTCCTTCACATTGCGTTTTTATTCTGAGCTGGTAGTTAGATACACCAATCAAGCTTTGCACAGTCTCCCAAGTGTGTAAAATGCAGTTCAGCTGAGGATTTTGCTGAAATAGAGGAAAGTAACTTTCATTCCAATCAGTTAGACATGTTCAGGCAATTTAAGTTGTTGTTCAAGATGATATCTGATTTCAACCTCTGATATTACTTCAGTCTGTTCGTCAGTACTTTTGGAGCATTGCCCCATTTCTGTTTTGTGAGCTGGCCATTTGGATTTTTGCCTTCTCTATTCTAGTTATTGATAGTGTATAGTGTTCAGACAGTTACACACCCTGCACACACTCAGCCATGGATTCCAAAAGCATTCCTTTCCTGTAAAAATCCCTCCAAAAATATTAATATAATAATAATCTGGTCACTTAATTCACGCCTGTTTGTGGGACACTGTTGTGCGCAATTGGCTGCCCACAAAATATACAATCAATTCACTTTACAGGATTTTCTGTGAAGCGTTTTGAGACATCTTGAAGGCATGATAAGGCGCTGAATCAAATGCAATTATTATAAATTTTGATTCCGACAATAAATAAGAATAAATGATTTGTGTCCAAATCCTACTGAAGATTGTTTGAAGGGAGGGGGATTAAATACTACTTGCTCACGAATGCAAAACAAACTGATCAAATTCGGGACATACTGGGTACCGTTTTGTCTGCAAGAAGGAGCTCCTCTTTGGATGTGCTGGCCAGGTTGGCTGCTTGCCAGTATTTTGAAATGTAAAAAGGTTAGCTAAATATTTTCTGGCCTTCGGTGGAACCACATCAGATAAGGAATCCATGTTGGGAAAAAATAAAGAGAATGCACTCCCTGCATAGACCTTATAAGGAGCAGATGTAAGTGGGTGACAGATGACGGTTTTGACCTATGGAATGCAAGAATGTATTGGAAAACAAATCCAGTTATGTATTCTCTACATTACTATATTTGATCTGCTTTAGCCTAGTGATCATTTGGGACTGCGGTGTAAATCACATGCATAAATACATTTCATTGTGAATATTTAGAAACCCTACCTGCCCTCAGGGCCTATATAAAAGTATAGTTCTCATCCAATTGATTCTCCATGTGCATGCAGTTTGGCTGAGATTATTTTAATGGAAGTTAACGTAACCACGAGTGGTACTTAAAAAATCATATCAGTCAGTGAAAGGAACCCTCACTTGTCTCCAAAAATATAAATTACAAACTTTTTTTTAGCAAATATCATTATCGTTTATATTTTGTTCTTGCCAATTTTCATCCCTCCTTTCGCTGAAGGCATTTGGTTCCGCTTTGGTTCTGCAGAAGTAGGGTTCCATAGGGACTTATTGCCCTCCGGCATATTGCCCAATTGATCATTATTCGTGTGTGAACCTTGGCTGTGAGCCTGGTAACCTATTCGGCTACACTGCGAAGGGGATAAGGGTGCATTGCAATCGAGCTCCAACTTGTCCTCATCCAACATCTGTGTAAGACACACCTCCACTCGGGAAATTCATATAATCATTACTTTCATAAGGAAGAAGGAATCACTGATTGCCTTCTCTCCCCTGGCTCTTATTGGCACAAGAACTAGGATCAGCTAACACAAAAATGACTGAGGGATCAAGTATGGCTCAATCATTACTAAATATATTTGTTGAGCCAACTTGGAAGTGGTGACCATTGACTTGCCTGAATCAACTTTATCTTACGAAGCACATTTCAAGATATCAATGTTTTTTTTTCTTTGTTAACTTATCGTTATTCAATGGAGACCAGCTAAAAACGTGCTTTGATTTAAAATGACTGAGTTTGTAATTCATCTCTAAAATGTCTAAAAAGTATTCTAAAAAAAAACATTAGACCATAGTATTACTGTTACTGTCTAACAATGGCGTCAGTCAGGAAAGTGGTGCCTGAGAATCATTGCAAATGTATTACGATTGGCCTAGGGTCTGACCTGATGAAGTGTAATACTGTGACTTACAGTTGTGAAGAAATCATTACAATTCTTTGGCGGTTACTGTTACAGTACTTGGTCTTTGTATAATCCTGACAAGATATATTGATTTCTAAGCTGGTACGTTATGCAGCATCAAGCACATAGATTGGTAAATGTCTCTGGCTCCCAACCTGTGGATCCAGGCCAGAGCAGCCTGACTAGTTTATCTGTAGTTTCATCTTTCACCTTTTCACGGAGGGGAATTAGCGGCTGGGATGAATTACCAGAAGAATGGTTTCAGCCTCATTTGACAAACAAGTCGATGGAGAATTGGGAAGGTCTTATACTTGGTATTTCACAAGGATGAGATCAAATGAGCTGAAGGGCCTTTTTCATCTAAACCCCTCTTATAATCTTGTGATCCTGTCTTCTTTTAGTTAACCGATTGTTTGATACACGTGGAAACCCATCACCCTGCTTGAGAATCGCCAAACCAAGCTGAGATTTCCGTGCATCCCACTTCCACGTGGAAACTCCAGAGATAGACTGTTGAAATGGAATGCGCTCTCTCTCTCTGGAGGGACTCATCCTGCTTACGTAATTCCAGAAAGTATTGGTGCGGATTGTCAAGGAACTAGTCTTGGGGACTCAAGAGTGTGTATTGAGGTACCACTGGAGTCTGACCAGCTAAAACCACATACCTTGCATTGATATCACTGTCTGGCAAGTTTTTTCCAGCTAGGACCACTCTAACAGTCTTGGCTCTGTCCACTAGATAGATTCTGAGACTGTGAAAAGGGAGGAAAAAGAATGGCGATCTTATTTCCCCTCCTGCTTGGGAAGGCTTACAATGGGGAGGAGCAGTGACAAGCATTGACAATGGTCACAGAGTAATTTATTTGACCAAACCTCTCGATTCCCCTAGCTGTATGCCTATACTAGCGAAACAGAGGGACACATTATGAAAAAATATGTTGCCATCAGTCATTGGAATTCTCCATATGAATTCCATAAACTATGTGTAATTCTATGGAAAATATGTTTCCTTGTATTTTTATTTGAAAACGAAAAATGACAGATTAGCTGACATGCTTTGTGTATTAAGCTGAAACATTTCTCAAAGCGACACTGTTTCCAATTGCCACTAAAGTTGAGACTGGCTTAGACAGGAGAGAAGCTGTCCCGATGCTGGTAACCTTTTCTTGATTTGCTACAGCTTCTGGACAAACGTGTTTAATTGCAATTGTGATTGAAAGATACAGTTGTAGATGATTTTACATTGCCAAAGTGACACTGATTCACATGTGCATTTAGTGGATGAGGTTAATGACTGTAAACTATGGAAATTGCTTGAGGCGAATCACGGTACAACTGGAGAAATCACTGCATCGAAGATCAAGAACTCATATCCCTTGATGGGGTCTTGATCTCAACCAGGAGTGACCAGACCAGACACCAAGATTACTTCTGCTACTATTTTTCATTCACTTCATGGCTTCTCCTTGCAACACTGGTGCCTTTCCCTTACTGATCACGTCTAATGGGGAGGGATATGAGACGATGAAAATTACCGTCTGCCTTTATTAGTTCTTTATTTTTCTAATCACATTTCATTGTCTTTTCCAACATACCTTAATACCATTATTTCCCAATTGCTCATAACTATCCCTATTAAACATTCGTCTCCAAATAAAGATGCATACACTGTAAAATGTAGTTACTATACTTTACTGTAGATCCTATGAAGCTCTTTGAGACATTTTGATGATGTGTTAAGGCGCTACATCAAATGCAAGAATTATTATTAAACCACTCAAGGAAGAAAATGTAGAAAAGTACCCAATCAATGCATTTCAATGTATTTTTTTACAACTGTAAGTTTTCCTTATTATTGAAACTATAAAATAATTTCTATCAGTTTATATTCAATGCTTTATTGCAACTTACCTTTCCAATGGGGGATTTATAATGGTAACAATTCAGCACTGTGCTTGCCCAGCCCTGCCTATTAGTGCCTTGGCTTGCAGGGTTGAGGACACATCCATGCTGCTATGCCTTATTCATGAGCCAGTCGGGCTAACTAGCTGTTTACAGTTTGTAGATAATTGTGGATCGCTCTAACTTTCCCAGGCATCTCTCCTCAGATCCATAGAGATTCCGCTAACCTTCTCCCACCTCCCCACCCTCCAGTTATTTTACACAGTCATTTTATCACCATCAAGAGCTAAATGGACCCACTGGGATTCAAACCCAGACTCTTCTATTCCTGGCCTAGTTAAACTGACTGAATGACCACCATTGGTTGTTTTTGCTCCTATGCAAGCCATGGAAATATTTGTTGCAAATTCAGATTGTACCACATTTTGTTTTAGTTAATAAATATGTATTTTTAGACCCAGACATCAGTGAGTGAAACGGGTTGAGCGTTTGAGCTAATACTGGGAACCAGACTTGAAACCATTAGAAAAGCAGCTGGCAGCCTGAGTTCTTCAAATACCATAGGCTAATGGACTGTTTAACTCCTTCAAGAAATCCAAAATGAAATGCTGTGCAATTTTCTTCAAAATGATTTAATT